TAGGAAATATTCTGAATTTGTATTTTGGTATGTTTAATGATTAGAAATCTATAAGGAAATTAAACTATTTCAATGGTCTGAAAACTGATGATTGTGAAGTTCTTTACAAGTTCTTTACGAATGAAAAAATGTCTTAATAAAACGCGAAAAATAGCTTTAACACAGTTATCTCCGGTCGTGAAAGTTCACATTCTTTAATATATAAATTTGTTACATTTCGAAAAATTATGCAAATAGGTTTAGAGCATGAAAATATAATATCGTATTTGTGAACCGTCTGAATTGTAAATAGTTTGAAAATTCAAGACCGCTTATGCTCGACCCATGTGATTTTAATGGGCCTATAAAAATCGTTATTCACCGGGCATATTTTATCATTATATTAGAAAAAAAATCCTGTTTCAACAATGCTTAGCATTTTAAAGTGCCACTCTATCTACGAAAATTTCATTTCAATTTTACTAAAAAGTGGTCAGATTTCAGTATTTCAAGAGGTTTGAATGATCAGAGCATTCCAGTTCGAATTTCATTTTATAATTTGTCATTAATAACAAAGGCCACTATAGTTAAGTGGACCGTGAAAATGAATAGAAAGATACATAACCTGCTTCACTTTGATTCACGCCTAATTTACGTATCTTATGAAAGGTTCGAAATGACATTCTCTTTCACTTCCATATGGATTGTTACATAGACGATCTTCATTATGAGAAAAAATAATTCATATTGAAAGAATTAGTAACCCTCGCTATGAAATGTTTCCGTTCCGGAAATTATTATCAATCCAATTCAACAAACATTCACATGAATTATTGTGTTATATTGCATTCATTGAATGAATTGGCATATTTGGATAAAACAGTAGTCCTGAGAACCTTGGGACATTTTTAAGTACAATCTACGTATCATTATGAAAGTATTAATAATTAACGATATGTTAACTTCATCCATTTTTTATTTATCTTGTATTCCCGAAGGGCCTCTACTGGTATCTTCAAGATTTGACATATAATATTCCCCATACTTTTTTTGACCTCAGACTGTTTTTTATATTTTGTAATAAAATGGTCCTGTTTTGATATTGCTCATTGAGAATTTACTTTTCCATTTCTTCAACAGGGCACATTCAGTTTTTTTACATTTTGTAACAAGATATTCGAAATTTTTCATGTTCTCTTCGTATTCAAGATCCTGTTCTTCTTGACCAGAATATCAAGTCAATTCTTTCAATAAGCACTGTTCAATTCTTCTCAGTAATCTACATTCATAGTCGAAGTTTTTTCTGATCTCTAGGTTTTATCATTCAGTGCCAATACCTCCTATCCAGGATAACCTATAGCCAAAAACCCTCAACCGTGAAATATACATTCAAATTCTGAACCTTTAGTGTATTCCGACATAGCTGTCGCATAGTGTACCGACATAGCTGTCGGTACCCTTGGTACGACAGCTATGTTTACAAACATGATATGATAGGTAGAAACACCAACACCAGAAATGACTCTCTATAACCAAGTTAGCATTCAGGATATGACATCAGAAGTTTATTTCATCACCCAATAATGCGAACTTGGCAATGGAAACGCACATCGAGTGTCAGTGCTTTCAGTCTGGTGAAAGAAAAGTATTTTCAATAGATGTTCTATTCTATTCCCATTCATATCTGAAAGGTGGATTCCTTGCAGTAGATATCAAAATTAATTCTTGCATAAATACCATTTTCTCCGAACTTAATTAATTCGTTACAATAACGTTAAACCTGGAAAGAAAATTAGGCGATCGTGAGTCGGGCACACTACCACCGCGACCAATTCCACAATAAGTTGTATGAGTATTATGTACTGAGTGTACTGAGTATTATGAAAGTATTTTTTCAAATGATGCTTTGAGAAAGCAAGTAGTGAATGGAAATAAACAGAAAACTCTTCAGGTAATTCAAATATGTTCCCATTCAGTGACAGCAATGCATGAAATGCCTACTCAAAAACTGTCAAACATATACGAATACATTTCAGAACATAAAAATCCAGTAAGCCTGTTTTTGCCATTATTTCCTGGAAATAAGTCACTTTTCGTTCTTGAACCAACAATTTTTTATTCTTTCGAGTTAGGGGAACTGCCTGATTCAGCTCCATTTCTAACCTGGAATTAAAAAGCATTCTACAAATTCCTGTTCAGAAAGATTTTATTCAGCAATATTTCCAATTTACTCGGTCCTCTATTTTTCTAAGACATAGTTTTGGGGTTACTATTCTCATTATATCATGACGAAATGAGCTCCAATACAAACTGAATCTATTGGTATACTGAGAAGTATCAAATTGACTGAATATTCATTCAAACTCTCGAATGGTATTTCCACTGATGGACAACTTTGGGACAATATCGGGTTTATGTGGAAATAATTGTAAATATTACTTATCACTAATATTGAACAAAAGCTGACATGCTGAATTGAATTTTTTATATGTTGAATTGAATTTTCTTGAATTTGTTGACCACTGTTGTTCCATTAACCAGCTGTCGGATCCTTACAAACGACAACCCTCAGAAGTCTAAACCTTATGATAGGTGCCTATTCGCACAAAACATTGTCTTTCTTGGAGTTCATTTGGTAACCATGAATCTATTTCCAACGACGAATCAAAATTTCATTGACGGGGTGTTATTTCATTATACTAACTAACAACTGTACAAATCTATAGAAACTTGGATTTCCAATCCAATTGTTTGTACAAAATATCAGAAAGTGACATACATTCAGTCAATTTTTCATATCATGGATTCATTTTGAAATTTTTATCAACTCAATTTCACTGCAAAATATTTTTTGAAGTTGTGTATGGCTAGCTTTAGCTGTTGACTCGAACAAGCCGTCGAACACAGCTGATTAAGTCAATGATACAGGCGGTGCGCTGTATTCACAAAAGTTAATTAGCGAAACTTGGCGAACTTACTGTTACTTGGAAAAAAATCAGAATTCACACTAGACTATTTCTTTGTTCTATCTCTGGAGTTATATAAATATTCTCTATTTAATTATCTTTGACGTGTGATTTCGTGATGTATCAAAATAATTATACACAGTATACTGAAATGTACCAGGAAATTGAGGACAGTTGCAAAGTTGGGTTACAATTCACCTTTGGAAAATATACCTTTTTGGGTGAACAGCAGAACGGAAGTGTACTCTTATAACACAAATTATTCCAAAATTTATTATCATCTTCAAAAGAGTAAGTGCATTTAAAGCACTTCCATCAGTTCTGAGAGTTTTATCATTCTACCTCAACTTTTACTGAAGATTCTGGCGTGTTTCCACCACACAATTCAACACAGCACCCCAAAAGAATGTTTTGTCCATGAGTTGTTTCATTTTTGATTTATATCATACACATTCGTATTTATATCCTGTATCCGGATGTCACGTAGGTAGCTATAGCCGCCTACGTGGTCATGTTAGACGTGGTCTGAGAATTTTTGGTCTTCTGACTGGAACAACAAATGTGCGGTTGGCTCCTGTTGTTGACTCCGTGCGTATGTGTTGCTTCCTATTTTCGGCAAACAAGTGTTTGCCAATAATTTTTTCGAGTCCAGTTCCGACTAATCCTTTCTTTCTTGGATTAAATCATAGACACTCGATAACACCTGCTTCATATCGGGTTTCGCTCCGTGTTTTGTGTATTTTATCCCCATAAGGATTATTTTCACAACGTTTCGGCAAAGTCTCATTTGCTAAAAAAAGTATAAAGGAAAAGGGATTTTCCGAGTTTTCGTAGGTTTATCATCTCACATACTGAAAGTGTTATGGAAGTATCTTTTGGTTTCAATAACTTCACATATTATTTCTACCTTTGTTTTTCATCAACGAATGAATGTTTTTCGACCCTTGGTTTTTCAGAAAATTAACACAACCGAATGAAACTGAAACATTCTATACCACGTGGTGGGGAAAGGAGTGTTGAATGTTCTGGAAAGTAGTAGGCGAGTTTCGTGTAAGAATTATGATTTTGCGGAAACTTTTTGGCAAGCGGACATGAAACCATATTGTTGGCTGCATTACGTTCATTGTATGGCTAGATGGTGAAGAGACACTGAACACATTTCTATTATATCTAAAATCGACTCACTCTCGACCCAAAAATCCGAATCAAAATGAAATAAGAAACCCAAGGGACTCTAGAATTATTTAATGTTCTTTTGAATAGACGTGAATATGATACATTGGGCCACAGAGTGTACAGGAAACCTACACACACAGACAGGCACCTGAACAAAAACTAATCGCCAGCCATAACAAAAGAGAGTGGTACTCACAACGTTGCTCGAGAGAGCACAACGTATTGGTGAACCTGAGAGTGTTCCTTAGTAACTCAGTCAGTCACGGGAAAAGCTTCACTCTCCTATGTTAAAAATGGTACAGACGGGATTGGTAGAATCTTAGAGTAAATCATCTAACAGAACAATTCGTTCAGGCCAGTCTCAACTCCCTACACTGTAGGTCAATGGACTGACACCTATCAAAAAACAACTACTCCCCTGGCTAATACCACGAAGGGCGTTGGATTATATCCGACAGGTGTTAGTGTAGGATTCTTCACTGACGTTATTCCTGCATATGCTGTTGGCGACACAACTGCCGCAATAGATTTTCAATTATTGGAACACACTTGCAGACCGGTATCGGGCTGTTTGTCCACTCGTCAGTGATAATTGAAAATCAAATTCCGTCAGAGTATCATTCCTCGAACTGAGCTGAAGCATACAACAAACAACAGGTTTGTCGTCGCCCCATCTGCCTGTAAACGAGGTAACCAACTGCTATCTGGCCTTATACATGAACAAGGTCAAGTAACCCAGTTGGGGGAAAGCAAGCCACGTCCACTAGGAATAATGTTAAACCAGAGTCAGATACCAGCATCGTAGTAACCGCTTTCGAAAGAGGAGAACAACTCGAACACCACTCAGGCACTAAGACCGTTACCACACCGCCTTTTATAATGTCTACTGTAGTAGTAGACGAATTGTCAGGTATACAAACCTGCAGACCACGGCCAAAAAACCTGGAAAATAGCTTCAAAACAGTTATTCCCNCTGTATTAGATTTTAATCATACAATCATACAAATAATTATATTCTTTTATTTAACTACTTTACACGATATACTATTCATAGCTTGATATTTCTGAATATTTTATCGAATTAAAATCCCGGTAACTAGAGGAAACTCTGTTTCCTCTAATGCTGAGTTTTTTGTTTCTTGTGTATTTTCATGGACATTTTCAGAACACAATAATGACTCGAGAATATAATCCTATTAATTTGAAGATCCATTCATCAATTTCAGATTGAAAAGTAGGGAAAAATTGGTGGTGTTTTATTCTTCATTTCTTTGGAATGAAAATATCTTGCCAAAGAAAAAAAAAGTTTCACAAATTTCTATATTATACAGATATATAAAATTATCCACTGAAGGAAAAGCTGATGGTGAACAGTTATATTTTCATTCTCTTGTCTTGATGGTCTAATGGAAAATTACAGTTTTTGACTTTCTCTAAAAGAGTTTAGATTCACACTTTCTAATATATCTGAAAACCTAAAGTGCTGAAGGTATTTTATGGATTTTCCATTATACGGAGAAGCCTGGTTAATCAATACATTTGTCTTTAGAAGATAATGGTATCACTTCCAAAAAAAAGTTGCATTTCTGCAACATTTTTATACATTTCCTTTTTTGAATGCGATAACACATCTATCTTCTGAAGATATTGTTTTTTGGTTGCTTCACTTATCATGATTTTACACTGCTATTTAATGTTGTATTATACTGGTATTCAAAAGTTCAATGCAATTTTCAGATTTGCACCACACTTCTGCTAACATCAGCAGTCTTCGCTGAGGAATCTGCGAAGAAAAAACGTGGATTGTTGCTTGGAGGGGGCGGTGACCTAGGTGGACATGGAGGATTCGGAGGCGGATTTGGAGGTGGTGATCTAGGAGGACATGGAGGTGGTCTTGGAGGAGGATTCGGAGGAGGATTTGGAGGTGGTTCTGGAGGAGGATTCGGAGGAGGATATGGAGGTGGTTATGGAGGAGGTTTCGGTGGTGGTCAAGGAGGTGGTCTTGGTGGTGGCACTATAAGCCACATTACTCTCCATAAAGATATTCCAGTACCGGTACCTCAACCTTACCCAGTTACAGTAGAGAAGAAGGTACCATATCCCGTGAAAGTTGCCGTACCATACAAAGTTGACAAACCCTATCCCGTACACGTACCAAAGCCATATCCAGTACCAGTTGATAAGCCTTACCCAGTCAAAGTCGTTAAGAATGTCCCAGTACCAGTGAAAGTACCTTACAAAGTCCCAGTACCTGTTAAAGTACCAGTTCACATCCCTAAGCCTTACCCAGTGACAGTCCATAAACCAGTACCAGTCCATGTTCCAGATGTCCACATCATCAAGAAACCCGTACCTGTGATCATCAACACCGGTCATGGACATGGAGGTCTAGGAGGAGGCTTCGGAAGTGGCTTGGGAGGCGGTTTAGGAGGTGGACACGGACTTGGAGGTGGTATTGGAGGAGGTTTTGGGGGAGGACATGGTGGATTTAGCTCAGGCGGTTTCGATGGTGGTCATGATTTCTCATCATCCGGCAGCTACGGCCATCATTGATAACATAGCGAACATAATTTCAAAAATTGTAAATACGTATCAACCTTTCCAAACGATAAAATCCACTCAGTAAATTATGTATAAAATAGCTCTGACTGCAAATCAGAGATTTTTTCATACATGTGCAAAGCAGAAACTGTTCCAGAACTGTTTGTTTGTCTGTTTTGGTAGCATGTTTGTTCGTCTAATCACCTATTTCATTTTTCATTTTCATTTTTCTGTGATATGCTCTCGGTGACGAACGAATCATGATTTCCAAATCAGGTTTCATTCTCATTTCATCCATTTTTATCATAACTGACACGTTTTTGAAAATTCTTTGAAGCATTATATATATTTTTATAATTATACTGTATATTATTTCATTAATAATGGTTCTTCAGTCCACTAAGCGGGGATTCAATGAATTATGAATTCAGTTGTTATAAGAGTCAATAGAAATAACCGAATGTACACAATAATCTGAAAAATAACAATATGAAAACAATAATAATTGATTCCTGAATCTGGCATTAACTAATAATCAATGCGAACTTGAGCGAGATCTTCAAAATATGTGTTTCCCATGATATAAATATTGCATAATATCCACTATGGTTTTCAAACGATAAGATGAAAAAACTTGAACGTGAAAAATGTGTACATTGAAACTGCGAAAAACAAAGTTCTCATTCATATCAATTCAATAAAGTCTAAAATTCTGAATTATTGACAGAGATTATTGCAAATTTCCTTCAGAAAATAAAATAATATAAGTACCACTGAAAAGTAGTCCTGAAACTTTATACATGAAAGAAGTTNGGTTTAATAAGGGATGGTGGCTGTTGATCACAAAATATTATGAAATGGGAAATATTTTGCTAGTGTGTTTTCTTTGCCTATCTTTCGATTTAGCATCGTTAGTTTGCCCACCATCACTTTCAATAAAATTACGGGAAATGATTTGTTCCAGGGATCCAAGAAACAATGAATTAGTCGTGATCCAGACCAGAAGGTGAGCTCCTTAGTTGAAAATGAAAAAGTTTGAATTTTTCAGTATAGATTAATTATGAAAATGGAGGTAAAATAGAACAAAACATCCAATCAATCATCAACATAATATCTCTAGAAATGAGGAAATTTTGGACAGTTGAAGTTGCGCCTTCAAGGCCATGCTGTTTGGAGGTAAATATCAGACAAACCTTACCTGCGGATATTAATATTAATATAAATAATGGGCAGATAGCGTTAGTTGATGAAACAAAAAAATCTAGGCGTGGTGATGGATTCTGGTTTGAGGTTCGAATAGCATATCAAAATGTTGATAAAGCGTGCATATTCTAACCTCAAGTTAATTTACGGCAACCGACATCTTTTTTCAATGAACATAAAAAAGATACTCTGTGGAATACTAGTTTTGTCATTATTTAATTACGCAGATGCTCTGTATGGACCTAATTTAACTGTACAATTCAAAAACAAAATTCAGAATTCACGTCTCCGTCTTATATTTGGAGTACGAAGACGGCAAATAATTTCGCATGAACTATAGGAAATTAGATGGCTGAATATGGAGAACAGGAGGAAGCTACATTTTGCTAATATATGTCATAGCGTAATTGTCAATAAAAAGCCAGGGTATCTTCATCATGACATTATTTATCGCACCGATATATACAACATAAATATTAGAAGTAGAGGTTTATTGGGTGTTCCTTCTTTTGTGACTGAAATTTTCAGACGCTCGTTTAGTCATCAAGTTACAACTCAATTCCTTCAGAACTTAAAAGCCATAGTGTTGAAAAATTCAAAGATCAATTTAAGACTCATCTTCTGCATTGTCAGAAATGAATACTTCATCCATGAAACTTCACATAAAAAACTCATTACGTATTCATATTTTGATGGAAGATACACTCTATTGATACGGTGGAATTTTCAAGTTTCATTTACTTTCCGAACTGTCGGTGCTCGTGTTTTGAGTATACATAGGTACGTTAATATATCTATAATATGAGTCTCTATAAATCATATGCGGGGTGTATAGCAATAGTTGATGGGGAAGAACACCAAAGGACACAATTCCAAGTTGAAATAATATTGGATTTTTTTTCTCCTTCCCTTTCTACGATTCATTTCTGGAATAGATAATTCTCAGTGAGGAATGTATATGCAATGCGTAACTAAAATGTTACATCAAATTAGTACACATCACTGTTTTTGGATTAAGTAGAAGAATATTTTGATGGTGTTCAACACAATTGATATTCATATTTTCATTGATATTCAGGATAGTTATCAGTATTTTTGATCTATTTTTTTGTATATATTTATTTGAAACTGTAGCAACGTCCGGCTTGTGACGTCATCTGACCCAGACGACGACGTTCATATTCTTTTCTACTTCCTCTTCAAGTTTTGCAGTTACTTGCTTCTCTCGTATTCAGTACGATGGCTGAAACTGAACAGTATTCTTAAACATATGTTATAGCGATGATCCAGGCTAGGTTGCATGACATCAGATAGTCGGTCTATGCTAAAAAACGCAAAATTCAATGATCTATTTCTCAGTACAATTATTGATAAAAATATACATCCATTCATGTCTGAGAAACCTCCCCTGTATGAACTTGATATATCTGCGAAATCTTGGATCAGAGATGCCAAATATATGGTGCACTATGTCATATATTTTCTTTAGGCCACATTATGTAGAAGTCCAAGATCATGAAACCAACTTCAGGGCTTTCATGAGGTATCAGTCTAAGGACTCCATTTGTATATCAGCAATCTTCCCCTAGGCTACACTGACCAAATCATTCCTGAAGAAAACAAAATTTGTTTTTTGTTTTCTATCAATTATTGTCAATTGATTTTGAAATCAACTCACATTCAATAATTAATTGTTACTGCACATTGCTTGTAGATGGGGTTGATTGATCTTGAAGAGAGGAGTATTTTTACTACTTCCAGCCTTCTTGATCATTTGTTTGTTCTTCGAAACATAACTGTCAATTCCATACAGTTCATTTTGTAGCTGTACAGGATCATCATTATTGCTCCGAGCGTATCCACTTCCATTCAATTTCTTTCATCAGTCCATTGAATATTCATGAAAAAAAAATTTCAGTATCCGCGTTGTGACCTGGTATTGCAAATAGATATTTTGCAATCTTTGCCATATCGGTGTACTGCAGAAGATTGTCACAATCTGTTTTTCCGCTAATCACAATGCTTAAAAAACACCCATTTCTCATGACACTGAAATGGTGATTCGTTTTCGTCATTCCACTTTCTAAGATTTTCTTCAGTACTCCAAATTGATCAAAGAGAATGGAATCATCAATTTCAATTTGTTTCTCGTTCAATTAAACAATAGATGAACTCTTAGTCAGTGTTGACAGTTCCTTTCAAAATTGAATTCCGGGACTTTTGTGCGTCCCGAAAAAATTTTTTGGGACACCTTATGGCTTGGTTGAAAACCAAAGTATTGTAGCAACTGATGAATATATTGAACTACATCGCACTGATGAGGCCAATGAGCCAGAAACACGTGTCTACGGTAGTTTGCAATCTTTGAATGCTCTCTTCATGACCTTGATTAAAAGTGACAATCTTGCTACTTGCTTCTAAAAAATGGCATTGAAGTTCTCTTGTGTTCTTGAAATGAATTTTTGTAGCAAGGCTGAAAATTAGAAATGAGAAATGAAACTTTCTATGTTTCTTCACCATGAGTGGTGAAGAAACATAGAAAGTTTTTTTTCTCATTTTCATGATGATCTTCTATTACGAAGTAACGGTTACATCTACAATTTATTGAAAATTGGTTTTTCAGCGGATTAAATAATGAAATGAAATGAAAAAAAGAGAATTGAAACTTTCTATGTTTTTTACCACTTTTATTTGTATCTAACAATAAACTGTATAAGTTTGAAAATGTCCTTATAGGACGAAACTGCAGTAATATTAGATACAAATAAAAGTGGTAAAAACATAGAAAGTTTCAATTTCCTTCGCTTCATTGTGATTTCCTACCACGTAGTTAACGGCTATATCCATCAATTTATTGAAATAAAACGTTTCAATGATTATTTTGATTCGAAAACTATATTCAGAAGTTTGAAAAGTAAGTGAGAATACCGTGAAAAACAAATGATTTTCGTTCATGAAATAATTCAAAACACAAAAATCAATTTTTATTGTTTTTATCTGAAAATGTAGGTTATGTGAAAAGATGGTTTACACAAAATATTTTTTCTATAGGAAGTATGTAATGTAAAAAACAGTGAAATATGAACTTCACTGTTTTTTGAGAACTATGTCATTTGAAGAACTGGGTTTATGTGGAATGCACTTGTTAAGAAGGTTTTTTTAAATGTGCTCAATCTTCAGCGATTCCAATCCAAGGTAAATCGCTATTTTCGCACAGGCACCACTCTTAGAACGCCTTGAATTTGCTATAGTCCTTGTGTTCCATCCTGAAAAAAATAATTACGCTGTATATTATACATATTAAATTCCATCCACTATACAATATAGCTTAGATTGACTTAAATTTATTTTGCTTCGATTACCAAGCATAGTATTTCCTTTCCTATACAACATTTTTTTTTTGTTTTGATGGATTTTCATTTTTCAAAATCAATTTCATTGGCCTACAAAAATGCCAATTCACTTGCTAATCCTGCTAATCGAATATACAACACTCCATTCTACGTTCTGCAGAGAGGGTGGCATAACAACTGAGCTGAATCTAGGCAATGAATGTAACAGCAAAAGATATGCCGCATATCTTGTTGTAATTTTTTAATGTGTTTAGTACATCGAGAAATGTGAAGGTCTTCTCTGAATCATTAATGCACAAAAGTCAAGTTGTATAAATAAGCGTTTGTTGATAACCTATTTGCTTCTGCCGCTAATGTCAATATCATGGAACCATTGAATGAAATATTTATTTCTACTGTTGAGATTTAATTCTCAGTATTCATACATAACCTAGTTTGTCAAAATCGTTA